AATTCATAACCATGGATGTGACTCATTTAAACTTAGCTCTTTTGTTATTTTTTAAAAAAGTTCCAATTCTTTTACTTGTCTTCAAGGTAGTTGAGGTAAATACCAGAATACAAAGCACTTCCATACTTTTGCCATAGTCGCTACAAAGTTGCGAGAAAATGAGATGATGTTTATCAGAAAATAACTTGGCTGCATTTTTGGGACCTGTTTAATCTGATTTTATGGTATTTAGGACATGGAACGATAACAGCAGTTAACTCTTCATTGAGCAAAGACAGATAAGAAGTTTTTCACATTGTAGAAGTGCTCAGTAAGCTACACGTGGGTAATGCTTCACTGCTGCAGCCAATTGCACGTCTTAAGTAAGTCTTTAACGTACCTGCTACCTTCCACATCCATTCCGCTGATGGTGAGTGTGGTGAGTTCTGGTAGTTGGTGAAACACGGTCCTTTCTGAAAGGGGGGGGGGAAACTGCCTCGAGCGACATGGCTGAATAACGTGTGAGTAAGTCTCCTGCCTTCTAGAGTAAAGTTGCAGAGGAATAACAAGTAAAACAAGTCTTCAGCATAGGCTAGAAAAGGTTTTCTTTGCCAACTCATTAAAGAAACAGGAGCAGGCTATGAATTTCAGACCACCTCTGCGAACTGCGATGCTGCTTCTGTAAGCAGTAGCTCACAGCCAGTGAAGCGGAAAGAATTAATGTTCACAGCAAGCACAGGAGAGTATTCCTGGGCTAGAGTCGGTCTGAGTGACCTGCTTTTGCTTGTATGTAGGAAGCCCTGTCAAAGGTTTCCAGAATCTGTCTCTCAACTACAGCTGTTTAGAATGAAATGACTGCTGATCCAACAGCACATTTCCACAATCTGGAAAGATGGAATACTGAAAAATCAAGTGACAGCAGAGGGTTTGTTTTTTGTAGCACAAGGTGCGTGGGGGTGCTCGCTGCGGTAACTCCACGTAGTGTGTCCAAACAGGCTCTGGAAAACTTTGCACTAGGCAAGGCGTCGACCCTCTTCCTTCCTATCTGTTTCTGCTGTCTGTCAGGCAAAAAAGTTGTTTTTATCAGCAGGTTTGGGCTTGGCACATTCAGGCTTTTAATATAGCTGTAAGGCTTGCCTGTTTCTGCTGGCATGCCAGTTTCCAAACACCTCTGTAAACACATCCTCTCCTTTGGGAGAAGCCCCTTCTTTGTTCTGGCGTATGTCCTCCTGAGTGCTGCAGGGCTATACTGAGCGTATACACCGTATCCTGAGGAGCATACACCTTGTATTTTGGTAGCAGAGAGAGTTTGACTAGAAACGGAGTGCTGAGTGTTCAGTGACAGAAATGGTGCAGCACCTGTAAAAAGAAAATGGCAATACAAGAGCGATTGAATAAAGTGCCTGAAACAGGCACGAGGGTGAGAGAGAAACTTCTTATAAAGAGAGTAAAGCTCTGATCTCTGAAATGCTAAGGAAATTTTTAATCTGAAGGGTTGGATACTTCACCTCCTTTCCATCAGTATCCCAGAATAATGCTGGTAGTGTAATACCTGGTCAGCTGCTTGCTTATAGTGAAAAGAAATAGGCTGCTTGGTGAAGCCATTCAAACATTCCTTGCCCTTTGTTCCTGTTACTAATAGCGAATCCTTTGGGCGTTGGGGTTTTTTGCTGTTTGTTGGATTGCGCATGTGCTGAACTGCAGGAAAAAAAAATGGAGACGCTTGTCAGCGTAAAAGCCACATGGGAGGAAAAACCCCTGTTGCATTAGATGAGAAGTTGTGTTACAGAAGGGTAGCTACAGTTTTATAGATCGACATGCGAACACTACCCACTGCTTCCGATGTAACAGTTTTAGGACTACAGCAAGGGGGAGATAGATAGGGCTTTTCCATAAAATACTAGAGACATTGCATATTACAGTCTTGATGTTGTACAGTTACTGATATTTGAATTATCTTCAGACACCTTAATTTTAATCACCTTTTTCCAGGTCTGCTGGCTGACACTGAGATGAGCTGAAGGAAGGCATTAGTGATGAGCTTGCAGAGGCCTTGCTCTAGGTAATTAATTGCCTTGGGGAGGGGGAACCAACAAACAAACGGCAGACTGTGGGCTGGAGCAGTCAGGAAGGCAATTACAAAGTCAGTCTCTGGCTCCTGTCGCTACCTTGCTGCTGTGGCTCTTCATACAGCTACAGGTGTAGCAATCATCAGCCCTGGTCAGGAGGAGAGGAGGAAGAGGGAATTGTGTGCGGTCATCATTTACTGTCAGTGCCATAAACGAGCGTGACCTCACCTCCACCATCAACTGTTTTAACTGAAACCTGAAGGAAATGGCTTCAGAATTAACTGGGGCTGGTAAATGAGCGCTCTGATACTGAAGCAGGAGTTGAGGCTCTGCTTGTGAGTGATGTTTACAGCTGTGTTAGCACATGATGGGATTTCAGGCTCTCCCTCCTTGAGTTTAGACAAGGAAGGGTGTCACCCTGAATGGAGGGTGATGTGCTGAGCGCTTTTGCAGCCTACCACCTGTGAGGGGACTCTTGGAAGATAGAGCTACAAGGAGGCAATGAATGACATCAGCATCTTCATCAGCACTAAACCTTTTTTTGTTACTGGCCAGTGGGTTGAAGGTGGGGCAGCCCTTCCTGGCTGTACCACAGCAGGGAAAGCAGGGGCAGGTGCTGCCCTGCCAGCAGAAGCAGGGCAGTAGCTGACACCAGCGGTCACCAGGGGAAGTTCTACTGCCCACATGACCACAGCAGTTTTGCAAAGCCTCTCATCAGCCACCTGTGAATGCCAGCTCCCTTTGTAAGCTGGCCAGCGTGTTTCTTAGGAAAATGAGCAACCTGCCCTTCCACCTTCAAGCCCAGGCAGGGTAAGGAAAAAAAAAAATGAAAAAACCCAACCTCCAAAACTTAATTCACTGGTTAATCTGTGCTGACAGTCTGCTGGATCCCATCCCTATGCAATTAACCAATACGCGTAAGAAAATACATGTGTAAGTTACGAAAATGGTACAGTCAGTAATTCACTAGAAGGAAAATACAAGATACAATATAAAGATATAAAACTTTATTATGAACATATTTAACAATGATTATGCACATGAATTCTTCCAAGAAACTCAATACCCAGCCTGCACTTGAAGTAAAATACCAGTTTTCCTTCATGTTCCATATCAGCATGAAGTTCTCTGACATAAACATAAACATAATTTGCTGTCATTAACACAACTTCTAGACATAGAATACTTAACACATCCTCATGCACACTTTCTCAAGCAGCATTTAATTACAGCTTCTCATTAAACAGAGCATTTATCTTACACATTTTTATACCATTTTGGTACACAATTTTTTCCATATTTTCATTTTACATATTTACAAGTCTCTAAAAAAAAAGTTTTACAGTAATGCAAAGGTTATTACTGGCACAAGCAAAAGGGAACAGGGGAAAGATGAGGTGACTATGGATACAGAGTTGTCTTTTGGCTCAGAGAAAGACAACGCATCAAAAATCTTTCCTAGCTGGAGCCTCCCATGTCCCCCAGCATTAGTGCCACGGCTCGGCTGCATTGTTCCTTACTGATTTTAAGCCTTACCCTTCCTATTCTTTGCCAGTCCTAGGCAAGTTTCCAACCCATTCCACCACCAATGGTATTTTTAAAGCAAGTACTACAGAAAATGGTCACCACGAACAGCTCGCACTCGACTACTGATTTCTTAGAAGTCCCTCTTGATCATTGTGCACATGGAAGTCTTCCAATTATTTAAGAGACGGCATCTCCTTTAGAGCAGGAACACTGGATGCTGTGGGGCCTTTTTGCATACTTTTCTCATTTTATGCAGTTCTGTTAGCGATGGAAATATTTAATTACTCTAGCAGTAATGAAAGGAACACCAGGCTCATTGCTTACCCAGATCTCTTCTGTTTCACCCTTCAGTTACAATACTTCACTCAGAGGTGACCTTACGCTGCTTATTCTCCCAAGCTGTTTACAGTCCACACTGCAATATTCCGCACGTGCTGTCTCCGCTTTCCAATTGCGGAGACAGGAGGAGCGAAATTGAGATTTCTTGCTAGCAAAACTATTTCCTCACCTGCTTCACTGCTTTTGCCTTTTTACTGTATATTGAATTTGATGCGGCACTGCATCAGCCAAGCTTTCCATTACACTCTAGCACTTCTGAAATACAAAATATTTTGGGTGGCAAATGTTGCTGAAATATAATCTCTAACAATTAACATGGAAACTATTTTCTCACTGTATTTGTACTGAGACGCTTATTTTAAGTACACATTTCCCATTCTCAGCTTTCCTATTTCCACTTTGAATGCAGTGATGTAGAAAAGTTAATGCAAACAAAAAAGCAAATTAAATGGGCTGAGAACAGATTAGAAAAAAATCATCTGAAGGGTAGATTAAACATACTTTCTGTATGTGCATGACACTGTACTTCTGGGTTAACTGTAACAACCAGTTCAGACTGCGATAAGAAACACCAGCATGCTTTGCACATTGGTTAAATGAAACATCTTCTCTCTTCAGAACAATTTAGAACAGAATTAAACAATATTGGAGCCAAAAAGATCTGAATGTAAGGATCACGTAAATACCAGTTTCTGAAGTCCTAATTCCTGTACCCACTGTTATGCCAATAGCAGTCAAAAGGATCTGGGGCATGCAGGGGATGCCTGCTTGGGCTCCAACACCCTGCAAATTCAAACAGCTGCCAGCCTCCAGCGGCTCACCTGGGGAACGCTAAGCACAAGGATGGGCTCTCTGCTTTTAGGATACAGAGGTCACCTCCCATACTTGTTAAAAAAAAGTCTAAAAGGAAGTGCTGAAAGTACAGCTTGCTGCAGTTCACTGGAAAAAAAACCCCACCACTAACTCGAAATACTTTAATATTTTCTTTTATGTTCTTCTAAGCTGACACCAATTAAGCAAATAAAGGAAAAATCCTCTGCCCCCCACAGTTTCCTTGCTTTAGCCATACAATAGCGCTCACTGACACCAATTAAGCAAATAAAGGAAAAATCCTTCTCTGCCCCCCACGGTTTCCTTGCTTTAGCCATACAATAGCGCTCTGGCTTCTAACAAATAAATGATCCCTGGTACAGAAAGTTTGAAATTTAAAATACCCGAAAAAAAATTCTCAGTTCCACATAATTTTAGAAATTTTTCTCTCACAGGCACAGAGTATCTTACCACACTTGTCCTTAGCAGAGCACTGATTTCATCTGAACAGGTCTGTGACAGCAAGGATGCAACCACACGAAGCAGTTCCTTTGGTCCTCTCTAAGCAAACTGCTGTCCTATGGAGTGTCCCCAGCATGATCCTGAACAGCTACCAGGAGGTTTTTGCAATGGAAATGGTCTGGAACAGTTGTTGCATCAAAGCAGAACTAAGCTACTTTTTCCCCGATACGATTCAGCAAGGTTAATAGGACTTCACTGCACACTTCTGCTCCAACTAGTTCAACGATGAGCACAATTCCCTAGTGTAAGCCAGCACCACTTTCTGTCTGATGCATTAACAGCGCTTCTGAGAGTCTTTTCTACAGCGGCAGGGCAGAGAAATTTTACAAGTGTAAATCACAGTTACAAATCCAGGAGGGGGAAAAAAAAAAAAAAAAAGAAAAAAAAAAGATACTTTCAGCCAGGTCAAGTACCTGAAAACAAAAGTAGTAAGAAACAAACAGCATCCACTTAAAGAACTGAACAACGGTGTAGGAGAAAACCAACTTGTAAATAGAGGACCAGCAGCATCATACTAGGAATACTTCATTCCCACGTAAGTCCGTTCCAGCACAGACTGGAACACAGGTAATCACAAAATGTGCGAGTGGAAGTTTCCATCAGTACAGGTGGCGACTGTGGTATGACAAGGAGTTGAACTGTGCACAGAACATGCTCAAAAGCCAACTCGTGCATGTTCTGTACACGAGCAACCGCAGTTGTGCCTAGGATGAAGGTTAACTGTCTATTAATACCACTTAAGGAAAAATTCTGATGTAGGAAAAAACCTCTAAAAATGAAACATTTGGAAATTTGAAATTGTAATTCTCTATGAAACTTTCATACTTTGTTCTCTGTAACAGTTTCCTCCAGTATATAAAAAACCCAGAAAGAAGAGTACTGGCTTCCTTCTGAAATTTGTTGCTGCTTAAATATTTCCATTTGAAAGGGCTGTTTAACAAAACCAAACCAAACCAAACCCAAACACTTCTGTTGTGGCAGTAAAGCAAAGCATGTTTTGAAACATACACAAATAATTTTGCACCACTGAGGCTATTTTGGCCACTAGAACTTGACTATTTGCACGTATCTTGCACTTACAAATCTGGTAAACTCATTTAAAAAATGGTCTTAAGTCTGTATCGCTTCTTCAAATGAAAAATGGAAAGCTTGTATTTTCTTGCATTGAAAAAAATAGGAGAGAAAACCCTAAACCACTTCATTACCTGCCTCCAGCCCAGAAGACTAAGGTAGAAAATTGAAAGGGAAATGAGGCACTTCGTACAGCAGTGGACAATACACAAAGGAGCCAACACAAATGCAGCAGATGAATGAGAGTATGCTGTACATAATCCTCAAAAAAAAAAAACAAAAACAAACCCACAAACCCAAACAAAACCCCCAAGCAGCAAGGATGCAATTTTAAAATCAGCATATAATCAGTGACACTTCTAAATGGAAACAGACTTAAAAATTTTAGTCCAGAGACATCCTGCTCTCAGGCATTTCATAAGACATGTAAAAATTTTGGTTTCTTAAATTTTCACCATAACCTTTTCAAGCATTCTTTTTTCAGTTTTAGCTTTGTAAACAGAAACAGAAGCAGGATGTCCTTCCTGGGAGTTGGTGTTCAGATGACAGCAGGCTGTAAGGAAGCCAAGGAAGTTGTCCGTCTAGGGAAACTTCAAAATTGGTGTAATTCCAGCTGAACAAGTGTCTACATCAAAATCAATCACTGTCCGATTCCTCTTTATACTTGGCTCTAATAGCTTGGCCATTCTGCAGTGGCATTTCTTCATAGTCACTCCTGTGAAACAGATACTTGTTAAAAATTCTGAATGTGATGTTCAGATAGGAAGTCCAAAATAAACATGGAAGTTCTAAACTACATTGAGGCATCAAATTGTTATTTGGGTAAGAAGCTGCTATGCATTTTCCTTCCTTGTTGGGGATATCAACGATATACATGACTTCTCTCCAGAAGAGTTATTCCAGTAACTACAAGCCACTCTTCACAAGGGTAAGTACAGAAGCAAGCCGGTACTACCACTGCTCATCTTACTAAACAAAGGCAAGCTGTCTCAGCCACTGCACATAGCTCGTTCAGCACAAACTTGTTCAGCTTCCTGCAGGATTAATCCCATCCTCACTGTTCCAGCCACTTCAGTGTCTTTGGTAAGAGGTGGGAACATCAAGGGCAGATAATGAGTCTGTTCAGTGTCCAGCACAGAGACATCTGATCAGGATGGGGTTTAAGTGCTACTATAATTCTCATATTACATCAATCACACAAGCCTAGGAAGTTTTGCTAGATTTGATTGTTCCTATTTTGGTAAGTGATGGACACTTAAGAAGAGCCATCCTCCTTCCCTGAAGCATTTGTGTATAAGCTGCTGCTTTGCCAACTCCACCTGACTCCTGCAAACCTTCCCCATTTAAAAGGAAGTGCTTTCCTTTCACGTGTCTTGCTGCCCTTGCTTCATGACCTGCCAGCATCCTCATACTTACTTACCTATTTGTATCAGTGCCATGGCAATCCCTTTTAGAAACCAAAAAAAGAAAAAACAAAAGAACATGCATTCTCATTGCATTTCTGTTTCAGAATAAGGCTGTGTTTCTGTTGTTTAGGCAGAACGCTTTCACTAATAACCTACAAAGCCTTCCCTTATTTAACAAATACAGAAAAGAACATTACAAAAATAACTAATCTTACCCATAAATCACATCATCATCTGAATCATTCAGCATAGAAAAAGCAGGATTGTCTTTCAACTGTGATTCTGGAAAATACAAGTAAAGGTTAATTTAGCTCATTAAACACAGAAATGTGGCTGTGGCTGTACGACTAATCCAACAATGAAGCAACAGACTTGACAACTTCCAAGACAGTCACAACTACAACTCAACAAAACTATATTCAAACAGGAATTCACTCCTTTAAATTCTTCACCCTTCAGCCACAACATCCTGGCATTCTTAAAACTATCTCATCTTATTTTTAGATAGATATTCTCCATGTTGTATAAGCAGATTTCCTCCCCTGTGTAGTTTCCTATGTCATATTATTTCAACCTGCACATGAGTAATTAAGTCAGACTTCATTATTCTTAATCATTATTCCAAAGTTCATGGGTATTTAAAAAGCACAGACTTCATTAACTTCTTGGTTATTTCTAAGCTACAGATAGAACTAGACCCAAGTTGTAATCCTTTGCACACAAGTCAATGATTAGCCAGTTATTTTTCATCCTTGTAACAGACGAAGGAAAGACCTGTACCTTCATGGTGAGATGAAAGGAAGTACATACTTTCCCACTGGCTATTTATGACAATTCCCTCTACCTTGTTCCAAGGCCTTCATTTCTTGCATAGTCTGTGCCGCTTAGCTGTAGTTCATAATTATATACAAGTAAAATTAAATGCAGCAGTTTGCTATAAACATCTTCTTCCTGACAGCTTTTTACTTTCTGCCTTCTATAAACTAATACTTCTTGCAACCCAACAGCAGGTTTTTATCTTTATCCTCATCCAGCCATTTCACTTGTCTTTCTTAATGGAAAAAATAGTGCTCTTCTGTAACAAGTTCCATCCACCTTCTAGAGAAAGGACCAGCTCCTCTATTTAGTGCCTTCCCCCTGCATACCTCTCAGCATGCAAGATGGGATTGGACAGGGTGCTAGACAATGAAAGGGAAAGGACCATATGATCTTTCCAGGTCCCTTCCAACCTGGTCGATGGTTCTGTATTTTAAGCTCAATGCTTAAAGCAGAGAATGCACTCAGTATAAATACTTATTTTCCAAAATCTTTACCTGTTCGAGAGGGATAATGCTTTATAATCATCATGTGAGCCAGATTACATCCTCTATGTAGGAATGCAAAACCAGAAGTGTCACTGATTCAATCCTTTATCGCCCTTTACATGGGCTCTGTGCAGCCCTCTCCCCATAGCAAGTTCCCCAAATTCCTCCCATGGTAGAGATCAGCTTCGCTCCTACTTTTCCAACAGTGTGTTACCTATTTCAGAACCCAGTTTGCCAGCATGCCAATATATTAACCTCACTGTTAGAACAAAGTACAAATGAAGCACTGTTGCTCCGTGACAACTCTGTGAGTCAGAGCAAAAGTTAGTGCATTACATGCAAACATCATATTGACTATAAGTTTGGTCTAAGTGCGTAAGAATTCAAGCCTAGCCAATCAGTTGTATACATTTTATGCATTCCTTCATATTTCCAATACTAATTTGCTCAGGAGCAGTGCAGCTTCTGCTTATGTTAACTCGAAGCAAATTCAAACTGTAATGAGTCAACCAAAATATAAAGATGTTACACAGTATCTGCTAATATGCCAGCTCTTGTCATCTAAGTTTGCCAGACAATTGCTTACACTTACCATATAGTGCATTCTTTGAGGGGGAATACACGAAGGCTAATGTGTAGAGATAAAAGTTCAATAAACCATAAAATGATAGGAATTCTGCTGGTAGTAAGTGTCAAGGATATTACTCAATATAGCTGCATACATGCTAACTTTGGAAACAAAACCCAAACCGTACATAAGCTGTTTCAATGGGAAGAATGTTAGAATGTTTACTTTATTAAGGTTTAAGAGCATGAATGGCTAAACAAAACTGCATGTTTTAAATTCAATGACAATGAAATTCAATGTACTCAAGCTATTTCAAGGGAAAGCTCCCACTGAAGAAAAAGCTTTAACACAAGTAACATTTGCTGAGATAAGGTCTACCCTTGAATGGTGGAGTGCACGGTAAATTGAATAGTTTTGCCTTCAACACTAAAAGAAAGCTGAGTAAGGGGAGTGTTCAGGTGAGGGGTTTTTTTTTTTTTGTTTATTTTAAAAAAAAGTTCTTTCTTGGCACAGCAATTGAAAAGGAAGGAGAAAGGACTATCTGTGGTGGCTCCTTGTCATCATTTTGGGAAAATACTAAAGGCTTTACATATGGTTTTCTACCAGCTCCCAAAATGTATCTATGCTTGTCAGTAACCAGAGCAGTTGCAATCACACAGGCACTTTCAGAAAGTAGAATGAACTAAGATCTCATGATTCAGGTCCAGAAATATAGTTTGTAATCCTCTTGCCAACAGGCATCAGAAATAGTCTCTCTCAAATCACTTAAATTCTCTGCTATGACCTCTTCCACATGTAGATTTGGACCAATACATACATTTTCGGTGACTTCTAAACTATTAATTTCTCAAATATTTTGGTACGCCCCATGCCAACTGGTATGTATAGAGCAAAATGAATTCCTGCAGCAAATACAGCCAAATTTGTCACAATAACTTTTTAAAGTTACTTGAACGCATGCGTATCTAGGCCTTCACTCCTTCTGAAGAGCATCAAATGCAGTTGTGATTTACACAAATTAGACTGTCTCAGCTCATAATCTTTACAAAGAGCCATTTACAAAATGCTGACGTGAAACCTCGATCAAAATGGACTGAACTTCAAAAGCCTACCTATGAGTCAAAGGTCTCAGTCCTTAGGTATATCATTTTTAAGTACCTCCTGCATGATTACATTCCTAGTTGGGCAGTATCACAACACAAGGATATAATTCTGATAATGAGCCGACAGCTCAGCAACAAAGTTGTCCTGTAGAACTTGTGCTCCAAAGCGTAGGTAGAGTATAACAATGCTGTGGAAAAAGATTAAAGAATATAGGTATACTGTGTCATTAAACTGCAAAACTGAAATGGTAGCTTGATAGAAGAGTGTATGAGAAAATAATTATGTTAACATGCTGACCATTTATTTTAAGCTGCATTCATTTTCATAGTTCTAAATTAAGAACAATTCTTTTGTGATTAGAAGTCAGCAGTTAATTGAGTAAAGCGGACCCCCACCCCCCCACCATGGTCTAGTTCCCTCAGATTTCATCCACTACAGACAATACAAAAGTCAACAGTAATTTGAAATAACTGCTTGGAGTGGGAGAGACAGATATTAACAGTAATCTAAGAAACTAATTCTGAACTTCTGCTTTGACTAAGTGAAGCTTGCAAAGCTCCAAAAGAGGTGAGTGATGCACTACAGACCACTCAGCAGTACAGAAAGCATCTCTGCTAAGTGAACCTCTCAATCTTGCAGTGCATTACTGTGGTGACAGAAATAATAAGTTAGCTCTAAAAGGCTCAAGAAAGGTTAAAAAATTAAGAAATGCTTGCCATAACAATCATATCAAAAGACATTCCTTAGTTTCACTGACAATTTTATTATCAACAGAATGTATTCAAAACCCTGAAAAAAAGGTTATAAAGGTTACAGTACTGAGAAACGTACTTTGAAAAACCTTACCTAATGACAAGCACTACAAAGGTTAATGCAGTCAAGAATTTTAACCTGAGATCTGAAAAAGATTGAGAAAAGTTGTTATTAGCAAACTTATGCCTACATCTAGGAGAAGCAAGCCTGTTTGGGGAAGAATCAAAAGAAATATTCCTTACCAACATAAGGCATGTTATGAAGTTCTGAGCATGCCCTCACTATCAGGAACAAAAGGTAGAGAATGTATGTGGTGGCCACCACAAGGAAGAAGATTTTCATTCCCTAGAAGAAGAGCGTTAGGTTTTATTATTTAATGAGATTTGGTCTATTCCTTCTTCCCTCAGTGGAAATCATTATTTCCCAAAGCACAACACAGAATAGTGTATTTATTCAGGGAAAGTAGGCTCATGAAAGGAAGTACAAGATGAGGATGGCTACACATCAAGGTAGGTTTTTGGGGAATGTAAAGAAAGGATGTTTAATAGAAGTCATCATTTTGTTCACTGAGTACACAGTGAATCTCAATGATTTTCTAAAAACACAGCTCCTGAGAACAATACAAGGACCCGTATAAATCAGATCTTCCTTTACAACACAGAATTCTGAAATTTACTAGGACAGATGATCTTGGCAGGAGTATAAAGACGTACAAAACCGACTTAATAAGAGGCTTTAAAAAAATTATTTCAATCCCAACAGTCATGAGAGTCTGTGACTAAACTTGTGGTGCTGAGTCTCCAAATTTGCAAGACAATTTACTCTTCTCATTGGGATGGAGCTCAATATGGCCTATGCATGATCTAAAGCAAAATTAAAACTACCCTAGTCAGAATATGACCATCTGACCAGCATTTGCCGTTTTCTAAGTTGTGCCACAGATTCTAATAGAAGAACAAACCCCAACTTCTTGTATTGCCTAACTCAACCTGACGATTTAATAGCAAGAAAACCTTTCTGACTTACCTGGAAATTACCTGTGTCAACCCTGTATTGATATGTAGGATCATGTACTTCACTAACACTAAAAAAAAGACTCAAAATTAAAAAGTGGGTACTTACACCATTACAAGAGACAAGCTCAAAAAGCCGTACTGACCGAGAAACTCACTAACAAAGAAAAGGTTTAAAGTTACTATACAGAGTCTATAACTAAAGGTTTTGGCTGTATAAATTGGTGCAATGCCATTGATTCCAGTGGAGTCATGACAGTTTACATTACATGACATCCTCCTTCGTCCCAAACCAACTTTTCAAGGAATATGGAGGATTTCAAGTCTAATCTCACCACTTATCTTTTAGAAAAATGTATGATCTTGTAAATTCCTACAAGCCTTCAGGATTTAGTGTTTAAATTTTATCCTTGGTGATAAGAATTATAATTAGGCAATAACTGTGATACAAGCCCGTCCCTCATAGCAATTCTGCTGATAGGACATTAGCATGAGCATTTCCTGCAACTGCACTGCTTTCAACAATGTACAAGTCATGAAGAAGGTTAGAAGGTATCTTCCTTCTGAGAAAGTAAGAGGCAAACACTTGAGATTAAAATGGTTTAGAAACTACAAACGTACCAAAACTGAGAAAGATTTCTGGGTGGGGAATAGTGACACCTTTATGTTACCATAACAAATCGGGAGAAAAGAGAGAAATGCTAAACCAAGCAAAAGAACTTGAGTTCTGAGGAGAGACAGCATAGCTTGACTAAGCAGCGTCAGTACCCATTGTGCAGGTTGAGAAAGTTTGGTCAAACTGTATAATAGTTAACTACAGATACACTGTTGCTTCAAATACCAAAAGCTAACTGGGACATGGCACTAGAGGGAGTATTGTAAGGAGCCACAGCATATTGACAAAGTAGTCATTTCTAGATGTCACTAATTTATAAAATTATGTACTACTAGACCATCCATGGGGAATTCTGTTTTCAAACCAGTCACAAGGTAAGAATTTGAACTCCATTCCTATATCACAATCAGAGCATTAAGAAACAGATATCACTAATTGAAAACAATCTTCTCACTCTTGCCTACTCTCAGCTTGTTACTTTTTCAATAAATTTTAAATTACTTACGTTTGCCATATTCCCAGTGTAACAGAGGCCAGCCACAATAGTCCAACAATAAAGAATTTGGGCAGATAGAAAGTTAAGCATTTCCTTTCCCCCTGTTGAGAAAGCAGTAGTGTGGTGAAGGAGCGAACCCACATTTGAGATTTCATTCATTCTTGACAGAATAAAATAACTACCATCTTTGTTTTGTTCAACATGAACTAGATTAAGAGACTCATCTTCTGTATTTTTATTCTGCACAGGCAATTACAGAAGACATAAAATTGTATTATCATCTGTGTTAATAAGACGCAGTAGATTTGGAGCATCTTATTTATAAGGTCTCGCATATTTCACTGATACTGCAACTATAGGAATATACTGCATAAGATAAATACAACTTCTGGAGCATTTAAAAGTGGTTTAAAAAACAATCAACTACCATATACAACAACAAAACCCTTCAAACAATAACAAAGCAGAATGGCTTCATAATTCTGAAGACTGTCTTGCAATAGTTTATAGAGTGGACTGTCCCACCTATCTCATTTAAGCACGGTAGCCTCAAGACAATCTACCACAAATCATTTTAACTCCAAAGCTTCATGTGTCACTTTGTATTTTAAGAATAAAATACACGTGTCTCTTTTCAAAAGTTTGATTTCATTTTATCACCTTTTGAGAGAACTGAAAAAAAAGTCTTCTCAGTAACTAGCAGATAATGTTGCACCCTTACCTGTACTCTTATACCATGATAGACACAAAGCCAGAACAACAACAGCGCACACAGAAACAGAGACTGGAAAAGATCATCCAGCATTCCAGGAAACCAGCTGTTCACCAGAAAAGAAAGGGGGAAAAATGGATCTGTAACAAAATAAGAAAAAAAAAAAAAAAAAAGTTAAACAGAGGGAAAAAAGCACTTTCTTTTCCATTACGAAAAGCAAAGCAGAATGTATCTTCAGAGGAACAAAACCCACCAGATTTTTCAAATTACACCAGTAAATGAAATTGAAGTTTGCTGTATTTTTTAAAGCAATTTACAAAGAAAATGGTGCCTCCAGCAGCAACCTTCTGTGCTGTAGAAATAATTGGAAATGTTTGCCAACATTTCTAGAAGATTCCAGGTTTTATTAGACTTTCTACTACACTACTGTTCTTGGTGATGACCTAAAAAATTATCATAGAATGACTGAAAGGCAAATATTCTTTTGGTACTGCTACAGAGTGGTAGAATTTGATGTGGTTTACTGGACTAAAAGTAGCCTCCATTTTTAATTAAAGTGCAAGTATCTCAAAAATGAAGAAGACTTAGCAGACAAACACAGAAACTGCATTTACATGTTGCTGTATGAAAGGTTCAGTATGGTTGCAGCCACCTATTCCAATCAGAGCTTTAAACAAATAGAGTTGACATTCATGTGACTGAAAAGAATGAAATCCATCTTCTTGCTATGCCCTTGAATTTAATACACTTTTAAAGGGTTGGGTTTTTTTAAAGTTAGTTTTCTGAAGCCTTATAAACAGCAGCTTCTAAGTTCAAGGCCAAATTCCATTTTGCCTTCTCTCATGCTCTCTTTTTTTTTCTTTTCTATTTTTTTCTTTTTAAAGGAGTTTTTCTAAAAATTCCAGGAATGAGTACCATTGTAAAGTAGCAGGAGGGGAAGGAGGATTGACATCCATTTCTGTTCAATACCCCAGTCTCTCATGGAGAATTTCCGCAGGGAATGTGCAAACAGACACTATAAAACAACAACATGAATTTGTAAGGAAGGAATACAGCCTTTACGGTTTTATCAGAGTAAAGAGATAACACAGCACACTGCAAAGACTACTTCATGAGGTCTTTGCCACTGAGAACACTGTAAAACAGGAGCCACATCTCCTAGCTTCTACTTCTGCTTCAAGTTTGCTGGCTTACCCCAATGCAAATTACTTAATGTCTCAAGCAAACTGAGAAGGAAACCAGCTAGCACCATGCAGATCAACAATGTATGAAAAAATGTTGCCTAATTACTGGTCATACACTACCAACAACTTCCATTTAAACTCACTTTTCAAAAAAACAGATTCCATATCACATTCACAGTTACCTGCTGAGCGACATCGTCTATGTGAGAAAAATGCTATGCAAGTGTTCAGTGCTTTGCTGTCCTTACTCTGAAAACTCTGCAGTTTTTACGTTGGGCTTTTTTTGAAACACTTCTTTTCCAGGGGCCAAATCAGGTTGGAGGGGAGAGATAATCCAAATCGTAGCATAATTTAGGTTGTAAGGCACCTCTGGAGGTCATCTGGCCCATATTCAAACTCAAGGCCGTGACAACTTAAACTTAGATCAAGGTCATATTCAACTGAGTTTTGTTCATTTTCAGAGATGGAAAGCCCACACTCTAGGCATATTGCAATGTCTGGGCCTACCTGCACTGCAAATTTTTTTTTTTCCTCACATCTAATCACAATTTCCTTTGTTTAAGCAAAATTCTTTCTGCTCAATTCAAAGTCAGAGTTTAGACAAACACATTTTCCCATTTATCCTATTTTCTTAATGTCCCTTCAATACCACTTGTAACAACATAAAAGCAGCGACTACATAAGTATTACAGAAACAGTTTTTACACCCATTCAGTGATACATCAACGCTGCTGCCTGGGGTTAAGTTACTAAACACAGCACTACAGAGCAGTGTTATCAGCTGCCTACATAATGTACTCCAGAAAGACTGAAACAAAATCTTACCGTGACCATAAAAGTAAGAACTACAAAGACAAATCGGAACCATATTTCCACTTGTGAAAAAGTCGGATTGTAGGTCTTCCACTACAAGAAAACAGAAGAAAGATAGCCCAATTAATGTTTTGACAGGGTACATACAACATCAGTAATTAGCACTTTCTGCACATACGGAAAAGTTTTCTGGCTTTTCAAAATCTAATGGTACAACCGAATTCCACCATGTCACCATGGAAGGACAAAGATAAATTCATAGCCATAGGACTATCTGATGAAAAGATAACCAAAGCAGCCTAATCTCCTTGCTTCTCTTTTACCCTGCCACTGTGTAACATAGTCAGTGTGCTGTCATACGTTAAAGCACTTCTCAGGACAAAAAGGATATTCTTCATTGATTTCAATTGCACTTTCATTCAAAGTTTGAATGCCAATAATTGAGTAAATCCAGTATGTTGTTCTTTATTACAAGGTCAGATGCATAAATTGATTATGAAGAGGTTGATAAGGGATTTTTCCTGTAATGAGATTGTTTTCTTAAAGCTTATTCTCTTCTTTCAGAGTGGAAAAAAGAAAATCAAATAAGGGAAGAATAAATGAGCTAACCAGAAATAAAGAACTTTTTTTATAGGGTTAAGGCGGAAAAGCTCCTTCTTCTCCTCTAATTAGTAGAAGGGCACAAATATTAATTATAGCATGTCAGTTTACAGAAATTCTGCTGTGTTGACAATTTATCTCATACCTGGTATGCTTCACTTTTGAAATGTCAACTCCCTGGTACAACATACACTCTGCCCATCTGAACATGAAACTTTACCTTTAAGTGGATTAAATCTGTCAACCTCTATTTTGTCTTTTTAAACCATAAACGTAGGATGAAAATTATATGTCGAGAATCCCATTATACAAAAGGCAATCTATGATTTCAAGTGAGATTACCATAAACCATTGTGATAATGAAATAAACTGACAATTTTAGTTGCTGTGGGGAAAGCAGGGCTTTGGCTTTGGGCTTTCGGTTTTGCGCACAAGTCTGCCTTAAAGGTAGCCTGCAAAGCAAGATAATAAACCATACAACTATAAATACTCCAACACTTTGTCCTGTTTGAAATGTGGAACCAAGCAAAGGGTTTGTAAGTTTGGGGGTTTTTACCCCCTTAGAGCATATTTTTAATTATGTGCTTTATGCACTAGAATACTACAAATATTAATATTCAGGAAGTTCATTTAGTATATAAAACCCACTTTTGCTTTAACATAAGATTTTTGCTTGCTCCCTGCTCTGACATACCAAATGTTGCATACAGGTAGAATATGCCATAGTAACCTGTGTTATATATTTGGTTTAGTTCCATTTTCTCCCAATGCAAGTGTTTCTAAATTTCTTTCTGGAGGCAATCAGCACAACACCGATAATGTAACTGTTTTATACGCCGTCTTTAGCACTATGAACTGAGCTAGTTATTTCACTAGGGATTTTTTTAGTGAATTATTGTATTAGCCTCCTTATTTTAGCTGAATAAACATTTTTCTCTTCCTTGCGAGCACAGTAAAAAAAATTTTGTCATTTTTCTTTGAGTTTATTAAATCTTTCTAGCCCACGCTTTTGTAAAGTCTGGAAAAATCTTGCTAATTCAGATAGACCTACTGGAAAGGCTGAAAAAGATACCATGCTTTAGAGAGGCAACGTCTCTATAAGAAAATGCAGAAAACTGGATGCTCTAGTCAGCTTGCCTACTGTTAAAAATATCTCCCAGGCATTAGACTAAATTTATCTGTTCCAGAAAACAGCATTAGCAGTTCTGAAAGAAAAATCTTCCCTTATAGAGTTAAAAAAATTGGTCTAGACCCTTATTAACAGCAAATGCTAGAATAGTTGTGAGATTAGTAGTAACAGAAAAATTAATTATGATGCACTTTATGTTTATCTTCAAAAATTAGATAACTTTTATTACAGTTAAAGCAGACCTCTACAGCATTAGTAATTTAAGAGATTTCTTTGCTAGTATGAAACTTTATACTTACTGTGAAAGTAATATTCTGGATAGTGTACGTTAACTTATTTAGATCTTCAAAGCTAACAAATATGTTGTACTGAGTGTAGTTCAGATAGCCAAGGTGAGCAACAATGATTTCACTGCATTTCTGTGAACACATACGGTGAAGAATAGTATGTAAAAGCCTTCAATTTATTCCAGAACATGCACTGTTAGTATACGTTGTAGAATTTGTTTCTAAATGATCAGATATTGATGATACTTATATGCCTTACCAATTTTGATCAGTCAGAATATGATTCAAACAAGACCCGATCAGATATTGATGATACTTATATGCCTTACCAGTTTTGATCAGTCAGAATATGATTCAAACAGATAAAGAATTTATTGGAAAACATCAGACAAAGCAGAAGAAACTGATGAAGTCAGTCAGCAGGTTCAGAGGTTGAACCAATAAACAAGGCTCTAATGGAATACTGTTCATTAATTTCTGCAGAATTCATATATATGTGTATATATATAAAAACCCCACATTTGATTTACCCTATATGCTTATCACAAAAAGCTTCAGCTATGCCCTTCCTAAAGGACTTGCATTTGGAGAAGCTGTTTCAGATGTCTCTAAGCTTAACATTTTCAGTGAAAATTATACTAGAAACTCAAACCCTTAAACATTTCTTCACAGGTGGCATGAAATTGGGCTTTTTTCAGAACACAGATGCCAGCTGATTTCAACCAGACTCTCTGCTAGGTGTTGGAGAATTTTTCTCTCATCTGGATCCCTATATCCAATCTTCTACAATATTCCTTTCTTCAGTACCACTAAATCCATTCAGGTGACTAAGCAGCACACACTGCTTTGCTGGCAGAGAGCTACTCTAACAAGAAAGAGGGATCTTTAAGGGGTAATAGACACAAGCCATAGAAGGAAACAGAAGACGACAGATAGGTAGGTATCCTGGTCAGCATTACTAGCTAGGTTGCAATTATAAATAAAACAGAGTCTTTCTTGAGATGTGCTTAACAGATACACTCTTCCAATTTGCAATGTAATGTAACATGCACACAAATAGGTTTAAAGAAAATGTACTGCATCAGAGTTTTGTTTAAGCGGGCACATACTTGTGCACAACTGAGTAATCTCGTCCGATTGTGAAATTGATTATTAACGTACGGTGTGCTTCCATCCTTCACCACTCCAAGTACTTTGACTATCATAGTAACATTCTTTTTGAGGGATACTGTAATTAAAAGAGAAAACATTAAGCTGTTGATACATGCAGAAATTAAATCTCAAATCGAGTTCCAAATACAGCTTAGAACACATATGATATCCAAAGATTACTCAAAGTTATTCAGTTATACTTCACTAGAGTAGGGGTCCAGTACATTAACAAAATCCCTACAGAACTCTTTATTTATATACTTAGGCAATAAGTCACAAATGCCCTGTACTGAATCTTCACAGATTGAGAATTACTGATACAGTATTTGTTCTCATGTATTTACAGGGAAGTTTTATTGAAAAATTAATATTGTTACAATCTACACACCTAACTCCCCCCAAAATGAAGGAAGAGAGACACAGATTCTCTAGATACCACTGCTTTCACAGAAAGCACAAACAACTTATCCCATATACCTGTTGCTTCCAGTTCTCAAGATCAGTGCTGTCCATGTCTTTACTGGGTGCAGGGGGTGGAGGAAAAACCCACCAACCATAGCCAGAAAGCAACAGGATCATGTATGTAACAGAGGAAATTAAAGATACAATATACAGGTTGCTATAGCAGTTTCCTGAGAATTAGGTAAGTTTCTCACCATCGTGCTGATCCAACTCAACTATGCAGGTCAGCCACAGCTGCTGATTATAAGTAGACAGGGGTGGTGAACTTAAATTAAATGGCTTCAGCTGTAAAAAAACCTACAAGGTTAGCACCAGCCATTATTCTGTTACACAATATATCTGTAGTTACGATGATGAAAAGCATGTTAATTACGTTTGTGACAATATTTTTGGGAATAGATGTAACATGTGCTACTCTGTGGACAGTATGATAACCAGCCCAAATGTAAGTCTTCCAGAGAA